TAGAAAATGAGAATATCGATTACTTAGCTTGATGAGTTTGAAGAAGCTGAGTGGTGACAACCGGCAGTAAAATTGATGGGTTAAAAAATAATTCTTCTTGTACATTAGCTTTGAATATATGACCAAAGACGACTTCTCAAGGCATTGATCATGGCTTTATATAAGATTGAATCGGATTGCATTTAATTTTACAGGTTTTCACCCTAGTTTCTTGGTTCAAATATACTATTCATAAAGAATATATAATATTGGGTAAAGAGATAAAAATACCCAAAAAGATGGTCAACCAAGGGCGTTTAATAACTCAAAGTGAGCAAATTGGTATAAACACCTATAACGTTACGTGAATGGATGTAAAAATAACCAAACCATTAACTTTGCCTTGACGATGTTAGTTTTCAGTATTAAATGCTAACTGTACATGCCATATGTCAGTCTTTACTGATATAGACTAAAAATAAGGAAAAAATACCCATGAAATCATCAATCAGGAACATCTAGTTGCTTATAGTAAGAAAAAAAGGGTAAATATACCTATAACGTTATCAAAATTGGTGCAAAAATGACTAATCCATCAAATCTCTTAAATATTGACCGTTTAATTGACACCTAAATAGAAATTGATCATTTTTTTGATAACGTTGACAAAAAATATTCTCAAGTAAAATTCTATGGAGATTAATTGGTCATTATATAATATCACGTGGAAAATGTCATTTTGATTTAACATCAAATTAAATCGATCATTTCTTTACAGTACTAGCAAAAACCATTTAAAAATTTTGAACCTATAATGAATGAAATTGCTTAAAGTTGTGACAATTTTCTTAAAGTAGGCAGCACAGGAGGTATATTTGGTATTGATCTTCAATTGTGTACAACATATCTCACTGTGTTGAATCTCAAGTCTTGCAGATAAGGAAAATGTGTGGAGAGCAAGGGAGAAAGGGGGTGGGATACGCAGCAATAAAACCACATGGCATAAATTTTAACAGATAGGTTACTATTGTACCTACTAAAATAACATTATGGGTATTCATACGATAATCGTATCAACCTCTATAGAGATTCCCCCAGGAATAGTTTTATCTACATCAGTAAAAAAATAATTAACTTTTGCTCAGGTGTCAACTAGACGGTTAACATTTAAGGGATTTGATAAATTAATCACTTTTGCGCCAACTTTGATAATGCTATGGGTATTTTTGCCTTTTTTTACCTTAGGCTATTGGATGCTCCTAGCCGACAACTTCATGGGTAATATTATTTTTTTTTAGCCCATATTAACAAAGACTAACATATGATATACACAATCAGCATTTAACATCAAAAACTAATGGCATTAAGGCAAAGTTAACGGTTTGATCACTTTTGCACCCATTCACGTAATGTTATAGGTATTTATGCCATTTTCTTCACTTTAGGCTATTGGGGCCCCCAACTTACCACTTTATGGGTATTTTTGTCCTTTATCCTATAATATTTTAGGTTCAAACATGCTATCATATGAAGAATATATAATCCTCTATGTAAAAGAATATTTTGATTTCTTATTAGAAATCTAATATTTTTAGCACCTATTTTTTTAAAATAAAGGTGCAATTTAGCCACAAATTATTTTTCAAACACTATTAAGTAGACTTTACTATGAGGTGGTGTACAATAAACCATCAATTAATGAAATGGTAGTACCTAGCACCAACCGTTAATTTGCTATTGACAAACGTTCATTTAATATTGTGAACCCCACATAAAATTTAACACATGGCATTGTTCTTCCATCAAACTGCATCTCTTTCCTCCCTTTCCCTCGCCTTTAGTATGTATTCTCTTTTATTCTCTCTCTTTATCCCCTCGCCATTCGTGAATGTTGGGAGCTCAACATGTAGTGCTAAACAATGTTGCCATCGTTAATGGAAATACTGGTGACCAAGTGACCATCTCCATGAGCTCAACTTCATTAACTCTCATGCAAATGATGGAGGTTTATCGAAATTCTACTATCTAGGAGCTTAACTCTCAATTCACTTATGCATGAAACTTGGTAGGAAGAGTTATTGAGCTTTAATTTAAGAACTTAAAAATAAGGGTAGTGGTTGATAAATCATGGGTTTCACTGGAGAAACGTGACCCATTGTACGTGGCTCTACAATAGAGAGGATGGGATGAAAACGTCATCATTAGTGGTCATGAGACTAAGACTTGAGGCAAGCTCTTTTGAGAGAACTTGAAGGGAGGGTGAGAAGAGTGACATTGACATGGAGAGGAGTGACTCGGGCATGGCTCCTTCAGCAAGCCAACTCCGGAGAGTGCTTTAACATCAAAACAGCCTCTGCTGTGAAGATAAAGAAAGTGGGGGGAGAGTCAGTGAAGCAGATGGATAGTGTGAAGTAGATGAAAGTGGGGATGAAGCATTGAGTGAGAGAGAGAGAGAGAAGCAGCCAAGCCTTAAAACATGGTGGGTCCCATATTATTAAAAATAAACAAATGTTAATGAGAAATGGACATCAAGTGATAGATGCAACGATCTTAATAGTTGATGATTTATTTTGTAACACCTTAAAATATACGCTATTCAATAGTCCTCAAAAAATAGTTAATGATTAAATTTATATTTTTACCCTCTTTTGATATATGCACCTTTAGTATCCTCAAGTAACAAAATGATGACCTTTGTGCGGGAAAGATTTTGGGACTTTCCATTTATATGGATATAAATGTGTGGGTGTCCTGTCGAACATTATCATTATGAAAAGAAGCGATACTCAGATGAATAAATTGAGAATGAAACTATGCTGGAATGAAAACTAGAGAAATAATCGAGGGCGGGGAGGCTAAGGGCAAGCGGGTCATTTTTTTGGGTAATATTATTCACAGTTAGGGACATTAGATTGCAAACTAATTTCAACAATTAGTAAGACTTTAGAATAATTATAATTATTGAAGGAGATTTTGAAGTGATTTTCTCAAGAATATTAAAAAGAGAATATAATAGAAAACGTAACATTGAAAAAGCATTTTTAATGGACCTTATTTTTGTTAAAATTATTTTATATTTGGGGGAATTAAATTTCTCTTAAAAGTATTTTATAATTTTGGATAAAATGAGTATACTATATTTATAATATATACCTTCTCTATTAAAAAATATAAGATATTTTTTAAGGGAGTGTGTATTAAAAATATAAGATATTTTTTATTTTTTAATAGATAATCATTCAATTTTTTAAAAATACTTCTATTAAATAAATTATTTTAATTTTTAAAGTGAAATATTTTATTAAATAAAAATAAATATAAAAAATAAAATTAATTTAAAATTAATAATTATTTTATTAAAAAATGAGATCGAATTAAAAATGAATTAGATTTTAACGAATGGAATAATAATAATATAAAAAACCCATTGTTTTTGGGCAACGCAATCCGGTTCAAATCAAGATATTCGAATTTATGAGTTAACCTCATTTTCCGTTTCTAGGACTCGTTCCCTACGGATTATGCTCCACGTGGCACTGAATCAGCCAAATGGTTCCTTCATATTGGTCGCTTGGAGTCGTTACAGTCGTAGAGACTTCGGATGCATTACCTTTCCCTTTCTGGGTTATGTAAAAGGAAGTACCACTTCGCTTGTGTTTTTTTGTTTTTTTTTTGTTTTTTTTGTTTTGGGTTTTAAATGCACTCGGAGATTTAAACCTTTCCTGATTGTTTATACTACAATCCACTTTTTATTATTTGAGCTAGAAGCACCATCTTTTATTTTATATATATATATATATATATAAGCTAGAAGCACCATCTTTTATATATATATATATATATATTATTGTCCATCTATATAATATAAAATTCATAAAAAATCACAAGCTATTTAATAAACTATAAAGAATGAAGTTTACCTTAAATTATATACAAAGCATAAGTTTATAATCTAGTTATATATGTAAAATATTTTACATATCTATATATAATAAAAAAATACACTTTTTCAACACCAAGGTGTACCAACGGACACTTGTTTTAGCAATTAGGGGTTCAAATAGTTTAACCTAAGATCTCGTGTTTGAGTCCTCGGATATGCAGGCTCAAGTTGAGCACATAAAGTAAGTCCCATTAGTGGTACCTACAAAATCACCACATTAAAGGCTCAACCTACACGGGGATCCGGATTAGTCTGAAATGAAATGAGTGGGCATGAATCCAAAATACCCACACTCTTCAAGATATCATGTGGAAAACTAAAAAAAAAAAAAATCTCAATTATCCACCCAATCCTTTTGGTTTAGTTTTTCCCCCAAAAAAAAATCTGAAATAAAAGACTATCAGAATAGTTTTTTCCCTTCAAATTTTCATTTGTTTGACATCAAATATGGTAGAAATGAGCACATACGTGAAAAAGTGAGGGTGGCACCTATTGAGGAAAAAATGGTAGAAAATCGGTTGAGATGATTTGGGCATGTACAAAGAAGACCAAGGGAGGCACCAGTGAGAAGAGTGGAACATATAACTTTGAGTCCGATTAAGAGAGGTAGAGGAAGGCCTAAGAGAACACTCTTGGAAGTTGTTGAACGTGATCTCTTAATTAATAATATTTCTAAAAGCTTAATAAATGATAGAGCACAATGGCGTCTTGCAATCCATGTAGCCGACCCCACCTAGTGGGATAAAGGCTTATTGTTGTTGTTGTTGTTGTTGTTGACATCAAATATGGTCGCTTCATTAGTGTTACAATTACATTATATTAACATCACAGCGAGTTAACTATTCACTCAAACGTGTGTCAGCTTGATAATAAAGAAACTAAATTAACTATGATAAAATTATTCAGAATCAAACTTGATATTCTCACATTTAAAGGCAAAGTTCATTTACTTTAATCCAAAACCAAGGGTATGTTTTAACTATCAAATATTGTCGTACGAGTAGGCACTGACCACCATCCAACAAGCATATCGGAACCGTACGTTAGACGGAAGCGAAAAGTACATCGACAAGTAAGCTGATCCTGATAGTAAAGTCTCAATACCTTTATCATAATTCATTGCAAACCAACTGCTCAAGCACACAATCCTTTACAAAATCAAACACCAATACAATCTTCTACAGAATTAACATACCTAACCCCCGAGTCTAGTTGTAAGGGATATCATGTGAGAAATAAGCAAGAGATTTTGAATTCAAACATCTTCTATATCATGTACTACGGAAAACAAAAAAATGACAACAGCCGTTACACATCAACACACTAACGGTGGTCATTCATGCATGAATATGTAATGAGCTTAAAAAGTTCAAGCCCTTTTCTTACTCGGCCTTGAAAGCGGGAGTGATATTTGAATGAATCCAAACTTCTTCCTCTGGGCTATGTACTTCTGATCGCTCTCATCTTTCTCTGATTTTGGAGGAAGCGTAAGATCTTCCCTTAGTGCACGCAGCATTTGGCTCAAAGCGACCTTTTGTCTTTCAGTATGCTCTTCCATATCTTTTCTTGTAGCATATTCTTCAGGAACTTGCTTTCTGCTAAGCACATCTCTCATTGAAACTGTTGGCTTTAAAGCAGGCTTTGGATTGTTGTTCGCTGGGTTTGATCTTGTTACACCTGGTAGAGGAGAATCCTGACAGTTTCCGGCTAAATTGAATTTGTTGCACTTGATAGAGTTATACATTGCTTGTACCTTGAGATCATTCTCAGGAATCAATCTCCTCAGAGCCTCTTCAGCAGAATGTTGCTTCCTGTTTGCACTTTCAACTCTGTTCAGAGCTTCTGTCAAGATTTGCTTGCTATGCCGAACTTCTGCTGTTGCTTCCTCCATCCTTCTCAGAATAGTCAGTTTAGAAATATTTAAATCATCCATTTGAAACTTGGAATCTATGACATTCTTTGTGGTTGACTCTTCGGGTATTTCAGCTTCCGGGGTTAGAGATTGCTCCCCAAAAGGAAAAGTCACTTTCTCGGGCTCTGGCAGGACAAAGGCAGATGGTCTCTCAGTGCTAGATAGTGCCTTGATTTCAGTAAGAGCAAAGGCTTCTGCTGCCATCGCAGCTTCTTCCATCTTCTTAGCTGCCAACCACCTCATCTCTGCAGTTTTGATACCAAATCCATTCTCTTCGTACATATTGAAGGGACTTGAAACTTCAGATCTCGTTTCAACCATTCTATTGTACTGCCCAGTGTCAGAATTGAAACTCTTAATAATGTTCATGGGATCTCCGAAAATGCCACTTGTTTCTACAGGAGCTACAGGAGGACTTAATCTATTTTGTTCTTGAGCTCTCTCTTGAATACAAACAGCGGCATATTTTGATGTTTGCATGTCGTGTGTCCTCTCAAGAAAAATCTTCTCCTTCTTCATCTTCTTATTCAAAGATTCAACCGAAGATTGTATCACCCCAAGATCATTTAGAGTTTTACCAAGATTAAGTTTAGCTTGTTTTAACTCCATTAAGATCAGATCAGGTGATGAGACAGAGCAGGGGCTTGAACCATGCAATATCTGTTCTTGGTTGTTGACAGTATTTCCATAATTTTCCTTATTCATCTCCTTAATGACAGGAGGTCCAGCCGGCCCATAGGCATGGACTTCAGGAGTTGCAAAACATTTCAAGGTTTCTTTCTGTAGCTGCTGCTTTAATTCCTCCACTATCCTTTTAGTGGCTCCAAGTTCTTCAAGCACATCAAGTGTTTCAAGTTCTTTCACTATCAAATCTTTCTCCAACTCTGCAGCTTGCTCCTCCACTTTCTTGATGTCAAAACCATCAATTTCGTTCTGTTAATGATCATCTTCTCCCATATCAGAAAGTAAGCCAAAGAAGTACAGAGATATCAAGAATGCATAAAGAATAATGCTTGTAAGAATGGACAGGGTGATGCATGGGAAACCTGATCATAGAAAATTCAAAGGACTGACATGAATGGCTTCCTTAATCCTTTAGGATAATTACTGTGGCAATTTAAAGATACTCATTTCACTAGTAGTTAAAACCCCGAAAGTACACATGCAAAATGTGTCCAACAGTTTATCAAGAAAAAAGAAAAAAGAAAATGTTCCCAGCAAAGCGTCAGCATCTTCCACGAAAATTCTGAAAGGCGCATTCGATTTTTGAATCTCAAAATGATCTGTACTCCACCACTTCCCCATCTAGTCTGAGACATCAAACGAGTCAGACATAACGATACAGTTTTGCGACAAAATTACCAAATTGAAACTCCATCAGAAAAAATGAAAAATCTGTCTTTGAAAATGGCAGCGGAGGAAAGGACTGAAAATAAATCTAAATTGAGGATATACTCTTACATTCAATATCTGTATCAGATAAACAATCATACAGAAAAACTAACACCTAGCTTTGACAATGACCGGCTTTGAACCATAAGCGGTAAAACAATTCTGCAATTGCTCAATTGCTCTAATAACCGTGTGCAATAATGACATAAAAGAACAATTAGAACATTACAGCTCGTAAGCATGAATTCCGTCCTAAAATTGTCTAAATATTCAGATGAAACAGTGTATTTCAGTTAAGTCCACGACATGATTTGCCGCTTCGGCTTCATTCATTGAATCTAATGGTAAAATTGCCAACATAACACTAGCATGTAAATGCCCAGTCACCAACATTCGGCCTAAAAAAATTATATTCGTAACTGAAAAACAACAAAATAAAAAGCAGCTATGTGAATTTTGAACCAAGCTAACTTACAAAAGCCTCTCCAAGCTTGTAAAGAGGTGGCCAAGGTCCACTACCTCCGAAACGGGTCACTGCCTCCTTAACAGACCCGAATGGCGGCGATGTGTCAATCTCAGCTCTTAAATTAACTCTTCTGATCCCGAAACTCGGGTTCCCACTTGACGCGTTTCCAGCATTGAGCTTTTCGGACACCTTCTCGGGTCTCACCTCCCTTATGGCAGGCGTTCCCGGAACCCCCTCGACAGTTACTTCCTGGGATTCGGCCATTGCACCAACTGGTACAAAAGTGAAAGCGAGATTCAGAGAAGCACCCACAGCTAAAAGGGCCAAAAGGCCTGAGCTTGGACTTCCGGGACGGATCCATCCTGCAATTTATGCAATTCCGAGGATGATGATGGTGTCTCATGGGCGAGTCACAACTCGGCTGAAAAGAAGGCGAGTCAGGGATGAGTGAGGTAACAGGGTCCACACACTCCATAGCCCACTCGGCGGATAAAAGTGAGCACAAAACTGGAAAGCAGGAAAGGCAAACCAAAAAGAAGGCCTTTCGCTTTTATGAAGCCTTTCTCCGATAATAATATTGTGAGGCTGAAGTATTAGGTTTGGAGTGCGCCTCTCAATGTGGTTGGTCAGCTAATGGAAAAGTCAAATGCTGGTGGAATACGAACCAATGAAAACGTAGCACGAAAGGGGATATAGATCACTCTGGGCTTGTAACGTGGATATTATTGCGTTGATTTAGGGCGTGATATGCGGTTACGGAAAAGCATTGTCAAAGTTGCAGTGATGATGATTGTGAGATTGTGCAGAGTCACCCTCGCAAAACGACGACGTGTTGCATTGTTGCTCCTTGCACGCGGCCCGTTAGATGGATCCACAGGTGTGTTTTTAATTCAAAAATAATATCGTTAAAAAACTTCCTTGAAAACATTATCATCAATTATTTTTTTAAAATTTGTTCCTATTTTTTATTTTTAATGCTAAAGTGAATTTTAAATTTATTGTTATGTTTAGATAAGAAATCTCACAATGAAGAAAACATTATTATGATTTTAATAACTATGTATCGTAGCTTTAAAACAACATTTAGAATAAATTATCATTATCATCATTCATGTGGTTGTTCAGCCTTAAACGTCATTCTGTGTAGCACGCATATCTTTTTTTTTTTTTTGTTTTTTTTTGGGAATAGAGGACAATTGATTAAGTTAATAGTCCCTTACAAATGGAAAATCGAATCCTGAGGAACTGGATCACAAAGTAAAGCAAATAACAACAAAAGAACCATAAAAACATAATAAAAAGGCTCGAAGATAGATTCAAATTGCCATTAGCCCGAAGAAACTCACTGCCTTCTTGGTTTTGCGGAGAGCATCGATCCAACAATGCAACATCTACATGAACTAGGTGTAAACAGGCACAGACAAGAGAACCAAAAGCCCTGTTTGATACGTGATATTGGGAGATTAGGATTGGGTTTGGGTAATATTAGATTTGGCATATTTGGTACGAAGCATTGAGCAATTCTTGGGACTACTCGACATCACTTAAGTGAAAATATTTAAACTCACCACCCTTGGTATTACAAAATTAATCTTGAGAGTAAAATTTTCTTAACTACAATTCTCTTGTAAAAAATCCAAATTTTCTCCTCTGTTAAGGACTGGAAGCACTCCACCTTCCTTCTTTGCCGTCGACGACCTCCAACACTCCACCTTCCTTTTTTAACGATAATGATCTTCAGCCATTCTCCTTTCTTTTCCCTCCATCAACAATACTTCATTATATTGAGCAGAAACCTCATCACGATAGCAGCTGCGAAGCGCTCTTCTCCATCTCCATCAATCAATCTCCATCATTAAGATCACACAGCATCACAAACCCTCATCTTTGGAGTAGAGTGATTGTAGCATGGCAGATGAGTAGAGAGTGATAATGAACAAGGTTGAGGGAGGGTTGGGTTCAATTGCATACAATAGAAAAGATGGCCAGATGGGTTCCAGCATTACAATTTTTTTTATTAAAATATAAAAGGTATTATGATTTTTTCATAATTTATATTTAATTATAAAATAAAATAAAGAGAGGTATTACCTACAATTATTACTCTATACCAAATATAATTTTAAAGCATCATTCTCAATTTCAATCTCAATACCAATGTTAATCCCCATCTCTTCAAACTCAAGTATGCCTACCAAATAGGGTCAAAGGTTCTTGAAGTGCAGCCATAAAAGCCAAAAAGGAACAACCATATGCTAGAACCTCATAGGATCCAACTTCTTCAACGCGATAAGAACAAAAAAGACACTGCCAAGCCAAGGGCAGAGGCTAGTAAACCTACAACACATCAACAAGAGAGAACAAAACCAAACGCGCAGGGGAAACTTGATATGGTACGAAGCCATAACAAGAAGGAACGGAAAAAACAAGAAACAAAGTAGCCCGAGAAAATAACCAACATCTGTAACACTGCCCATGAATTTGGTCACTTTTGTGGGTTTTGATTTTCTAAACATGGTTTATAGGAAAGAAAATTATAAAGTACATCATCATAATTCATAACTTTAAATTCCAACATAAAATAAATTTACATCCTATATTTACTGCATTAATATTTGAGAAAATGATAATAAAATTCTTTTAAAATATATAAATGATAATTTGATCCTCTAAAATGTCATAATTTTTCTAAAGTTTCTAAAAATTTTTTTTGTTATTAATGAATTTATATAAATTATCAAATTACTCTTGTTGAAAATAAATGATTTATAACTTTCATTCTTATATTTATAACTTTCCTTTTTATATTCATAACAATGTAACAATAAATAAAAAATTTAATATGTAATGTGGTGATTTTTTGCTGCATTGTTGCAAATTTTTTAAAAAAAGTTGCGAATATAAGAAGGAAACATGTAAATCATTTATTTTTAATAAGAATAATTTGATAATTTATATAAATTTATTAATGACATAAAAGTTTTTAAGGACTTTAGGAAAATTATAACATTTTGAGAGATTACATGTCATTTGCATATTTCGGAGGGATTTTATTGTTATTTTTTCTTAATATTTCATGTTAAATATTTCAAATTCAGCTAATGGAAGTTATTACTTGTTGCAAATAATGAAGGATCCAGGGGCAAAATTTTACGTTTATCAGGGCATGGGACGGGATTTCTTTGAGTCATATGTAAAGTTTCTTGACATTCAAATTGAATAATTGCGTGCGTGATGAAAGTAATTGCAATATTAATCCTAAGACTAATTAACGTAAATATGTGTAGTAGAAATGGCATTTAGTTTCCTTGTGACAATGATATACGCAGGCGAGAAAATATCATACTCCCTCCTCCATTTTCAAATATGAGAGAAACTGCCATGTTTTTTCTTGTTTTTACTTATAAGCAAAATTATAAATTTTTAGGAACACTTATTGCCTTTTTCTCAAGTTAACCCTCACAAAGTTAATATTTATTTTCACTAGATGAATTAATTTCATTAATTACAAGGGTAATTCAATTCAATTTTTTTAATTTCAGGCATAATTATTATATTTAATTAACTTTTTTAAATGATGTGAATTAGTTATTTTTTTATATTTGAAAGTGGAGGGAGTATAACCTTGCTTTTTTAGAGGAAAATTATAACCGGAGGAGGCCGGGTAAAACGTGCATACCAAAATGATGAAGATGAATTTTTATCATTAGAAGCCGTGAATCATTATTTGTAATTATTAACCCTTCTCAGAAGTAAGGGGAAAAAGACATGCAATGTTGGAGGTTGGCATGGCCAACAAATTACTATATCGGTCTCTTCTATTACTTTTTTGATTAGATATGAAATCCATAGGCATGTTTTTTCCAAATATTTCATATACTTTTCGAGGTTTAATTCAAAATTATCTTTTTGTCTTTATATATTTATTGACTGAATAGGATTCCCATCATGAGGGGTTGAAACCAATGCCAGTACAGTAATATATTTCATTCGGTTTTTAATATAAAACAAATTTTAGAAGTTATCAGTTATGTACGATCTTTTTTCCGGATAAAAAAGCTATGATCTATAATATATGATAAAATTATAGTAATTATTATTTTTAAAATTTTACCCCATATATATATTTATATTGTTCGCATTCATGGATGTTAATTTATTATAATTATTAACGGTAAAGAATGATAGAATTGAAAAATTGTATATTTTTTAAACAATTACAATATATTTCTGTATAAACGCGGAGTTGATTAAATTTATTTTATATTAACACAGGAGAGAGTGCATAAGAATATAAACATTGAATTTGTAAAGTGACTGTTAGCAACTAACAAGCCAACTTGATCATTATTAGTGCTTTTTTTTTTTAATTTATTTTTGTATTTTTCTTCATATTGTCAACTCTTTTTTTACCATACTTGAACCATTGCTATGACGCCTAACTTGATTACTAGAACAGTGACATCCGGGCCATTCTTTTCTTTTCTTTCGGCTGGCAAGTCTATTAAGTGCGCTCAAATAATAATGATGTTCCTGAAGTATTTAATAAATTAGATGTTCCGGAAGTATTTAGGTGAAATGAATACGATAAAGACGTATTGTTGTAAAGGAAAAGAGAAAACCACCACTCAAATATAAACAGACAGAATCCAAAAAACAAAAAACAAAAGAAATAGTTACAAGGTAAAGATAATTAAAGCTTGTTTAACAGTTTTTGTTATTTAGAACCAAAAAAACATTGTTTGGTAATGTATTTTCAAAAAGTGTTTTAAAAAATAAAAAAATAAATTTTTTTATAGAAAATAGAAAAATGAAAACATCAAAGGAGAATGCAAAAAAAAAAAAACATTTGTTTTCATTAATTTTTTTTTGTATTCATAACATGTTTTACAAAATATCAATTTTCAAAACAATAACACAAAAACAATTTCAAACAAGCTTTTAACTTTCATCATTGGCCTTCTCTAAAAAATGGAAGTTGGGTGAGCAAACTTAGCTAGCTAGTAAGCTTACTAATAGGGCGAGCCTAAAGCATCCTTGTACACAAAGTGAATGGTTACATGCCAATCCTTACAAAGATAAGGGCATCTTTAATTAGATACGAAGGTTATTAAAAAATATGCATGACTTGTTTTCAACCTCAATCAGATGAGATTAATTGGCATTAGGGTAAGAATTAATGCAATGAGAGGAAACCCTCCAGGAACAACCACATATAGCAACAAATTGATTGTCGAACCAGAGCACGATAATCAAGTCACACAACCGAGTACAAGAATCCAACCCATTTATGCTATTGGACTCTCAAAGTTCTTTTTTTTTTGGAATACAAGTGATGTAAAAATAGGCAGAGGAAGAGGGGAAGGGAGAGAAAGATAAAGGAGAAGGAAGAGAGAAAGAGAGATGAGGCTGGAAAAACAATAATTCTTATTATTCAATACTCAAAATTAAAAAATTATGTCAACATATACATGTGGTCAAATATGACTATCCAATCATCCATGATAAAATCCTTGATTTTTTTGATAATTTTCTTATAAGAATGACTT